GCACAGTAATTTTTCCTGGTCATGTTTTATTTTCAATTCAGGTTAGTTCCAGTCACTGTAATTAATGGATTAATGCAGTGGGTTCCATACAGCGAGGCAGAATGTCTGGACTTTCTAAACTCAGAATTTCAAGGAGCTGAGCTTCTCTGAAGGCTAGTTGTCAGCAGCACAAGAAAATTACGTCTGCTGAATATAACAGACCTGTTTGAATTCTGCCTCACTATTATCTCTTTTACCTAGGAAATGAACGTTTCAGCAGATAAAACATAAAAAGATCTGCCTGATGTGTAGTTGCTTTTTTTGTCTATGTACTTTTTTTTATTTATTTCCAGTCTACTATGCACATGATAAACTGGATGATTTCATCAGTACTATTAACAGCCATCTACAGCCTTTGTTTATGCAGATCCGGAAAGGGATGTCGGAAGATGATGGGAGAGCACATTATGCTTTAGTAAGTACGTGACGTGCTGCCATCGCGTGGCTTACACGGGGCTGTTCCGCTGGCTGCTGCTGGAAAAGCTACTTGTACACCAGGGAAGTGGGATTTATTTAGGATAAACATGTGCAATGTGCATGGCAGAGAGGGAAGGTTATAGTAATTATATAGTAATTTCAAAAGACCACACAGGAGGTATTCTAACATTAGCTGCTGCTTTTAGCCTTATTGGGTCATTTTGCCAAGCTAATGTTGAGCTAATAATAAATACCAGTAGCACATGCAATAAGAATATGAAATATCAGTTACTGTTTTTCGCAGTGAAACAAAAATGTTTATATAACATAGTTATTACTACTGTCCAGCACAGTATCCTGGTGTAGTATATTAGTTCTACTATATAGAACTAATATTCTATATTTGTTCTGTAGGGGGGAGGTTGGGTTGCTTAAGAGCTTGGAGACTGGGCAGAGGCAGCTGTGGAGAACATGTGGCTGGAAGATCAGGGGCTGTAAAGAAAGGACTCGAGACCACCAAGTGCCATCTTTAAGGAACAGCTTCTTTCATGCCACTTAAATAAATTACATTTCTGTTAATTGTGAGATGATGTACTCTCTAGTCCAGAGGATCTTTCACAATTTATGGTGTAGAAATACAAAAGGCACTTTCAGTTTGTTTGTTTTTTTTTTGTAGGTGAATTTGGCAGAAACTGAAATAACCAAAATGGCATCTGACTATACAGAAAATGAATTAGAATTGTTCAGAAAAACAGTAAGTATGTCAGTTATTAGTATGTCAGATTATTTGTGAAGTTGCCATCTTAAAATGAATGGAGGTGTAGTCCAGGAACTAGATGCTGTCTTATCCAAGTTTATCCCAAATCTAAAGGGGAGGGGGAAGGAATGGGAGTGTATGCAAGTAACAATTCCCCGTTGAAAGTCAGTTATCAGTAAACTGAAATCAGCAATAGGGGAGCGCTCCTGGGAGTCAGTGACTTGACATACCTGCTTTTAGATAAACAAACACCTTTCTTCAGGATTTTCAGGTGGGATTGCTGAGTTTTCATTGGCTTCAGGTCTAGTAATATACAGCAGCTTTTAATGCTAGTAACATACAAGCTGGATCTCCTGATTTGAATAGAATCATTTGTCTATTGTTATTGCTTAGCCAATTAATTCTGTGAACTGTAGTGATCTATGTATGGATGCTAAAAAAGCTGTACGTTACTATAAGGTGTGTCATCTAATTGCATGGTTTTTTTAATAGTTGAAAATGTTTCTTTCTGCAGATGGACCTAATCATTTTATCAGAAAATGGCTTTGCCTCTTCTACAGATATTTTAAACTTGGCTGACCAACTTAAGACAAAGAAAATGAAGAAAAAAGAAGCAGAGCAAGTGCTGAAAGTGTTTGTGGAAGATAAGTGGCTCTCTGAGGTACCTGTTGTATCTTTTCAAATGTTCCTATTTTAATAGGTCCAGCTATTATTTTTTTATGGCTGTGATGGCTGAACCTAGAGCTGTTATTTAATGAATGATGGCAAAAATGGTTTCGTGGGGCCTGTGCTTATCTGCTCCAGTGATTTTCACAGAAAAGGTAGTACATTTACAGGGAAAAAGTCCTTGGGTAGTTCTATACTGGATTCCGTTTCTTGTACCCGAGATAGGTGGGCATGTGCGTACAGCCTTGCATTGCGACATACAGACAGCCTTTGTACACAACAGCACGGCGTACTAAACGTGGAACAGGAGGTGGGGAAAGCTCTTCATGGCAATCGGTGCTGTTAGGTTACATTTACAATATCCTGAAAAGCAGTGAGGCCAAACATGTGGAAAGCTCCTGTACCAGAAACGCACGGGCCACTGCGCGCATTGTAATCTGTACCTTCCAAGGACTAGATCTCTGTTAAAGGTGTAAGATCTTTATCTGATCCTCTAAACAAATTAATTTTGCTCCTTCAAAAGTATTTTGGCTTTGCATTATATCAGTGTCAGCATGTTAGTTTCATGATGGCAGAAAAAAGTGGATGTCAAATGCTTGCTAGCAGGTGGTTAGAAAAGTCAAAAAAGGTAAAACGAATTAAAAGAAATTCCTCCTCTCACCACTTGTTTCCTTAGAGAAATGGAGAATATACCCTGCACACTCGCTGCATAATTGAGATGGAACAATACATTCTCAGCAACTACCAAGATGCGGCAAGGAAATGTAACATCTGTCACAGCCTTGCCATCCAGGTAATGTTTATTTCCTCAGTAGGCATCTGCTGATGCATGTATATGGTCACAGCTGAAGGCTGTGCTACTTTCCTTTGAGTATCAGGCAGGCAGGCACTGAAAAAGTGTGGACTTGTAATCTGATAATGGTGCCCATGTATATAGAGAAAATCCCCCTTTTTTTCAGTGTAGGTATTTTATCTTCTGTCTTTGGAAAAAAAACCAACTTGTCTTGGAGCAGTATCTCCAGGTATAGACTGGGAGAAGGCAAACTCACCCAGTGAGGAACACAGTTGTGCTGTCGTGCTTTCGAAGCCAGCAGGCTGGAGACAAATCCTTATCCTTAAACAGCTAACACTTAATTGCTGTGTGTGTCTGATCGTTGGACCTCACAAACAGCAGTATTCATGTGACACACACTCATCTTTGGTCCTGGGATTTTGGTTCAGGAATTGCTGTGTCTTGCACTTCAGAATGAACATGTTTGTTTATATGTAGCATGCTACAGCACTGTATTTTGATAGCTGGTAAATTACCGGTTTAGTCTTGCAAAAGTGGTTACCCCCTGAACTCCTCGCTGCTGGCCCCTGCATCTTCTCATCTTCCCAATTAACACGCTTCCATGTTACATTTTCCATCCCAACTGGTATCCTTTATTGCACCCAAATAGCTCATTGTTATTTGTCTTTCAAGCTAAATTTTGTCCACATAGGGAAATGGTATTTCCTGGTTTCCAGGGGAATACCTCCTTTTGTCATTTACCAGCTCTGCCTTCGAGTATCCGCCAGCTGTGCCGTGTGAACCATTCTTTGGAATAAAGCATCGCATATGTGCCGTCCTTTGTGACAACTTGATGTTAAACTGAAGGACAAGTTAGAAAGATTTTTTTATCAACACTTCTGATTTCAGAGCCAAGTCTGTGACTCCTGTGGAATTGGAATGCATTTACCTTGTGTCAGAAAGTACTTCAGAGCTCAGGCTGAACCTCGCTGTCCGCAGTGTAATGATTTCTGGTCTTCGGACATTCCAGGTACCAAGCAACCTATTTAAAAAAATTTTGTGTAATAACACTAGAGAATGGATTGTGATATTGAGTGGCACTGCCTGTATTATTTATAACTGTAGATGAGTATCAGTTATTTCTGTCTTCAGTCGTATGTTTCAGACAGTAAACCCCACACGGCCAACACTGAGCCCTGACACCACAGGGATTGTGCCTTCTGGTCACTAGTCGATCCTGTGCATGTTGTTTTTAAGAACATTAAAGTGTGGTGGGGGGCAAGCAGGCAACAGACACAACACATGACACTAAAACTTCTGGAAATACTGAGCTTTTAAGAAGAGCATCATCTTTTCAGAATTCCTCTGTTTAGCCAGGGAAATTGGACATTCTGAACAGGAACACAGGAATATATAAAGCATTTTAAAAATCTGGAGGTTATACAACATCGTCCTTTTTTCTATGTCATTCATTAACCTTAGTTTTATTTTCTCCACAGGTACGAGTCGGTAGACTCCCAGTTACCATCAAAAACAGGGAGAGCGGAGAAGAGCTCCATTCTCAGCACTAGACAATAAGAACAAAACTTGCTTTCAGTGAAATCTTTCCCCACTGCTGCAGAATAGCCAGACTGTATTATATTCATTAGTAACAGTGCGTTGTTCAGTGTACTTATTTTTTCCTGAAGTGTTAAGAATCTTACAGTAAAACTCATTGAGCTTCCTGTTCTCCTTCTTTACAGTTCCGCCTGCACAGCTTTTCCTTGGAGGCTGTTTTGTGTACATAGTTCTCCTTGGGTTGGGACTCTCAGTGCATGTTTGGGAAGGAAAGATACAAGTGTTCTCAGTCAGTCCTGCAAGCTGGTCTGTGCAGGTGACCTATTAGAAGCCTTTCTCAGCAACAGCGTTCCCTATTTGTAGAGTTTCAGTTGCACAACTGAAAATGAAACGGCTTCAAGTAGGTGAAAACTCAATGCAGCGCTTGAGGCCTCCTCACTGAGGCAGCTGGCTCAGTATCTCCTATGGAGTTTGAACATTTTGGGTTGGCACCGTGGCTTGGTTTCTGTTCCTTCTTTAGACACAAGAGTTCAGCTGACATAAGGCCAGGTCACGAGCAGCTGTGCTCAGTAAGAGAGGGAATATTCCCACCGTCAAAACGATTGGGAAGGAGTAGGACAAGACTTCTGGGGCAATGCCAGCTTATGCCTGCAAAGTGTTGAAAAAATTATCGTCTTAGGATTCTTTTAGTTTTTAGTATTAATACTTCACTCTCCAGTGAAGATGCCAGATGCTACGCGTTCTGATTTTTAACTCCTGTCGCAATGGTAACAGACTATGCATGCTTCAGAGCTATGACCACCAGAAACTGACAGAGAAGCTGATATCAAGCGATCGTACATAGTGCCAGTATTTAACTGGAATAAACAGAACCTGTCCAGGCATCAGAACACAGGACTGAAACGCAGCCTTTCTGAAATTGGGATACTTCACTAAGTCAGGATCTTCCACATCAACCTGCAAAAAACCAAAACAATCATCAGTAGAATGTTTTTACTGAAATATGATTTGATAAAGTAACATTACTGATATTAAAATTTCAGGAAACTATTTACCTGACTGGTGTTGTGAAGAAGTTGGCTTTCATGTGGGTAGAGGTTGTCTGAATCTTGTGGTGAATACAGACGGATATACTTTCTTCCAAATACCTGTATATATTACAATAAATGTTTTCCATCAGTCATTACCCTGCACATCACTGGAAACTGTGGGCCACAGCTGGCATTGAACAGTAAAATATACCTGATTACAAGAAACATCATTATCTTTGTAAGTAATAAACAGACACTGCTATAATAAAAAGTTAAAACCAATCAGACCATTGGAATTCAAGTACCTGTTCCCTTCGAGCAGATAAGAAATTGAAATACCAGGAAACACCTTTAACCCAGTTACTTTAAAGTCACAGTTTAAAGCACACAGTTTACACACTGTTATTTGGGCTCTACACAGCTAGAAAGTAATTAGAAGTGAGAATAAGAAGGTTGAGTCTGCAGTGCAGCTCACACCAGCAGGCAGAGGTACCAGAGCAGAGGACTGCTTCCCCAGACTCCTTCAGCTCATATTCCTGTGTTATCATTAAATTAGGTCTTTTACTGGAGTGCTAATTAAAAGACTATAGAATTCCTTAGGCAAGTGGACTGGCTGACCTGTACACTGCATTTCAAGTCCTCAGTGCTTACAACAAGGTGTCAGAGTAAGCAAGAGTCCGTGCAAGAGTCCACCAGAGGAATGCCCACAGGAGGCACTTTGTGCCAGGATTCGAGATGTCTCCATGGGCCAGGCGTGGTTGTGTTTGTTTGGAGCGACCGCACCGAAGAGTAAGCCAGCACTCTGACTCGCCACAGCACCCGGGACTGGCACTAGGTCCCAAACTGCTCCTAACCAAGCTGCTTTCCTCTGCCCTCCACGCAACAGAACGGGGTTTCCTGAAACCAACACCCAAGCTGTAATGCTGGATGTTTAGTGTGCTGCTTCAAGGGCAGCACACAGATGGACTCCAAAGGCTGGATGAAGGTGTTCCTGCCCTGTCCTGCTCTTTGCTATCCCATGTTAAACTAGCAGAGCCTTGATCTGAATAACCGTGGCCACTGTGTCATTTCAGGATACCCTCCGTACCCCAAGGGAGTATGGATATTAATTAGCTCTCTAAAGAACCACGTGTTAAGTGATGTTTTTGGTGATGTATGGAGGCAAAGAAAATGTTGGTTATTGCTCCAACAGCACATTTTCTGAATACTTGAATTTTTTTGTGGGTGGGTGTTGCCTGGCCTGCTGTGAGCTATTAACACATCCTTCCTTCGCTTGCCGCATGGGTCAGGGCTGCGTGCATTGCAAGGCTGAAAACACCAGTTAGCGGTCAACAGCTGCACCTCCAGATCCTGGTTTCCTCACTAATGGAAATACCATGATCTCTGCAGCAGCTACCACTCAGCCAGGAGGGATCATTCCACTTTTTCACTTGTTCTTGTGCCTCCCCGTACTCCACAGACACAGTGTAAATGGCATCAAGAGGCAGGACAGTTTTAATTGAAAACTGAAAACTGCCAGATCACCTCTGTTCAAATTATAGAGGTTCCCTTACAGCACTGGCAGATACTCTCCCATTCTTCAGGCAGAAAAATACAAGTTCTGAAGTTTGTAAGGGAACCATCTGTACGATGAGGGTAAGAAATGGTCTGTCTCAATGAAGGGCACTTGTGGCCTGCAAAATCCAGTAGAATAGCAAAATAATGTCTGCATGTTCTCTATCCTTCAAGTCGTCTGCTCCCCTCGTCTCTAACACTCACACACCATCAGCATTTTCTCTAGCTGTAGCATTAATTACATGTGTAGACTGAGTACAGACCTGGGCTAGGAAGTTTTGCTGGGGATCCTGATGAAGAGGTGAGATCGTGCCTTCTGGACCAAACCAAGCGTTAATGGTGATCTCATCTTCTTCCCCTTCCCCCAGGCAGCAGTAGTCAGGGATACTGAGATCTTCTTTCAGTTCTGGGATCTACTCCCATACAGAAAAAAACATTAAATAGGGTACGTGCTGCCTTGCCAAAGGTACGTAATTCACGGAACAGAGGAACAAGGCTTGACACAAAGAAAACAAATGACCTGCTTGTCGGTCAAAGGCAGGAGGGAAGCAGCCAAACTGCTGGGAATCTGCAGGAAATGTCCTCATGCTTTCTGTCCTAGCAAGCAGACTCTATCAGAAGGAGAAGTGGGAGAACGAAAGGGGTCTCTCATTCTTCAGAGACCCTTTGCTTCAGCAGAAACCAGAGAAACCCACAAGAATAAGCAGGTTTGCTGTTCACAGAAAAGTAGCAGCTGATGTTGCTTCTCCGTGAGGTTCCTTTGTATGTCTCCCACCAACCTCATCTCTGGTTAACTAGGATGACATTCCAGAATACAGTGAACGTATCACCACTGGAGACCGTTTCCTGTCCAATCTCCTCCCTGACTTACATATCCTTTGGGGAAATGCTGCTTTCCAGGTGGTATTCCTGTAATTATATGCTACATTGTACTGAAACAGCACTAACATTTAATGTCTTCACCCCTGAAAGCGTTTCGTTTCCATGCCTTTCAGCCAAAGGGAACAAACCCCTCCCTCTGTTCCTTCAAACTGGGGGGACAGAAACTTAATCCTGTGAATTCTCCATATGCCCTTCTGTCTGACATCCTCAGAGATATACTACAAAGGGAACACTTGACTGCAGAAAGAGAAAAACATTCAGTTTTACCTGATCAAAAAGCTGGTGCTGGGCAAGGTATCCTACACTGTTCTGAAATTACAGCAGAGAAAGAAAAAAATGCATAGTGACATACAGGGTAAGACTTCTCAGTCAGCTAATTCACCTAGCGGTAACATCCATTTCCAACGACCTATTTCAGTACTAGAATTGATTCAACAGTTGACTAGTACAGGGGGTCTTGTGAAACAGCAAATTACAGCTACACTGAAATTGTGAGAGAGTAGATATATCCCCACAATCAACAAACTATCTAGCTCGAGTTACTGGAAGGAGCCCAGATTTAATCCTACAGAGTCTTGACAGTCCTGTTGTCAATCCTGTGACAACGCTCTGCATCTCCACAGCCAGACCTGCTGGTGCACCGACCAGCTCAGCTCCACTCCCTGTAGGTACCTCGAGGTTCTGTTCCAGGCTGCACCACGGACCAATTTGCAATGGCACATGGTCCTTCCTGACACAAAATCAGGAAACAGAAATGAGGGCTTCAGATCCTCAGCTGTGAAAGTAAAAGCACATCCAATTGCTAATCAACTTTTTTTTTTTTTTTTTTTTTTAACCTGGTGGCATGTGAATTTGGATCTTGATCCTAGATCTTACTAAGCAGCTCAATAATAGAGAGGAACAAAAGTGCTGGCTGAGGATCCCTTATCCTTAGACGCCATCACTCAGGCTTTTTGCTGCAGAAGGTATGTGTCTATTCATCAAATTCCAGCTGCTGTATATTTCATTATATACAAAAAAGAAACCTAGCTATTGCTGCAATAACTACTTGAGCTTCAGATCTTGAAAATATGTCAAACATTTAATTCAGAGTTGTGCTTATAGCATGCCCCCCCCCGACATCACTTCTAAGCACGTTTGTTCTAAGCAGCGATGCTGTACCAGTAACACACTGCTGTACTTGGAGATGAAACAAAATGAGAGCAACTGACCTCATTCACAATATACTGGTCGATGAAGTCACTGACAGTCATGAGCTTCTGAGACCACTCCTCATCTGTGTACCGGGTACCCAGTTCCACGGGGACTGTGCGGCACCCTGCGACTTGACAAAAATAGTCCACACTGAAACAAAGAAAGCTCCGTTACCCTTTCATTCTGCTCTTCTTAATTATTTTGAATGTAAGGCAATCCATCAAAATCTATCTTTTAGAGTAATAAAACTCTACTGCCATGAGTTTCTTCTCTCTAAAACCAACCAGAGACAAAACATAGCAGAAAAGCATGCAGGCAGCAAGAAAACAAGCAGTCAAGTCCCTGTGTATGTTATGCCACAATTCTCTGTGTTTTGAAACCCTGTTTACCTGAGTTAACTATTGTTTCCTTCTGAGCCAAGGGGATCTTTCTGCTGCCTACTGCCACAACTGCTAAATAAAATGTTGTCTCTTTTTATCATTAATGCTAGATCAACTCTGCCAGTGCCAGGTAAGTCAGAGGAATTACTGTAATGGGTGGATACACTTCTCCATTGACAACATTAACTAAATGGAGAAGTTCCATCTTTTTAAGTGTCTGAAGTTAAGCAGTGGAGTACCTCCCTCTAAAAAACCCCAAAACCCTATGAAATAACAGGTGTGTTCAGTTTGTGTTCATCCTGCTCTGGGCTGTGGAACGAAAGCAACTGCTCAAACTAAGCATGAGTGGTTTTTCCCCTTTTCTAAGGAATCATGAGCTTTATCTCATCAATATTTGATTTTCAATATTGGAACTGTTGGCTCCATTGCTTACACTGCACAAGCAGCACAGTGTTATTAACTCCTGACCGGCAGCGCCTGGAACTGAACACTCAAACACAACACCGAGCAAGCATCAATGCTCGCACTTGTGACCGAAAAAGCCAACCATGCTTACTTGCACACCTCTGAAATTCACTTTCCATTGCACTAATTACCAGCAAGTTCTGAGACTTAAGCATCAGGGATCTGTGCCTGACACAGACCCACTTTAGAGGTGAGCAGCTCACTGGCACAGTCAGCAATGCAAGCATGGCGCTGGTTCCAGCTGCACAGCACCAGTGTCAGCAGCTTGGCAGAGGGGCTGCACAGCCCCTGACAGCGGGGCTGGGGGCTGCCGTCCTGCACAGCGCCCGG